CCCCAAAACCCCAAAACCCCAAAACCCCAAAACCCCAATATTAGACTTCTGAATTGAAGATACTTAATTCTGAGTCTTAATTTCCATTTTTGGCCAGATAGCTAGATCCTCTTGTGGTACCGGAACAAGCCTTTGAAGCTGATGTTCTTATGATCTACCTCTGTAAGGTGGGAGGTCTGAACTGAGTCAGCATGGCTCTTGTGGAATGGGAACTCTCTCCTGCTTATCTTCTTATTTGTGAGTGATCCCTATGTAATTTATTTAGACGACTCTATGTTTGGAGTGGCTAAGATGAGAAAATTGCTACAAAATGTATCTCCATTACTAATTCCTGCTAAGTTTTAGAAGAAAGTTTTGAAGACATCAGTAAGTCTACTCTATAGTAGTCGTTTCATGACCTTTTCTTAACGCAAAGGCCAAAGAACAGCTATGAATTCACTATGAATGCTTCAAGATATCTATGACTAGCCTAGTCACTTTATGGATTTGGCACAAGAGGGAATTTTTGAGAGAAATACCTGAATTCATTCCGGAGGGTTCACTATTCTGTACTTGTAAGGTCTACTTTTGACAGCCTTACAAGTCTGAGTAGTACCAACTCCTTTCTTGTTTCGGGAATTCAGGCTCAAAAATTCCTTCAGAAAGCTCAAGTGAGGAGTCTTCACGGGTCTCCGTGAGACTTTCCTCTTTTTGAAGAGATTTTCAGACTGCTGCATGAAACTTGTAAAGGAGATGTTCACATTGTTCTTGCCTCTCTCTGTTGAGAAGGAAGAGTTGATCTTCTCTGCGACATATTGGTTGCAGAAAGACTGGCTATGCCTAAGCAAGTTAGTAGGGGTACCTACTCCTGTGCTTCATTATTGTAGTCCAAAGAGACAGAGACGAGGTCTCTGTCTCTTTGGCTTACTTTTCGAGTCTTCTTCTTCATGTCTGGAGTGAAGATTTTAGGCAGGATCCTCTCACCTCTTTTGAGAACGAATTTAGACTGGTTCTTCTTGAGGAGCTCTATAAATAGCAGTTTAATGGGGTCAGAAAAATAAAGATTTTGATGATTTATTTGTGAGCATAATCTGGAGAATACTAGTCATGATCCTTTAGTTGTATATATCATTTAAAGAGGGATGAGAGCCATCTCAAGTTATTTATTGCTATGTACAGGTGTGTATTAACCAAACAGGTGTTAATAATATTAACAAAAGGTTCAGTTTATGGATGCTTCAAACATGAATCTAGCAAGGCTCTTTCTGGCAAGATTCCATGAGAGGTATTCTTAGGCATGACTTACTTCTGTTCCTCTCCATATGTAACTTGAGGGGTGAATTCTTTATCTTACGCTGTAAGTTCCTTCTGCATGGCTTCTTGAATCCTAAATGATATTTTTCTCCGAAAACACAATATTGCTATTAGGAAGATTCAAACACTTATTGGAAATTGTGCAACAAGACTTATAGGGATGACGTACCTCCAATGTGTTGGCCTTCTGAATATTTCTGGAGGAGCTTGGCTCTATCAAGTCTCTTATGTGAGTTTAGTGGTAATTCCAAGTGCTTTATGCCTGGCAAGGCCTTTTGGATGATCACTTTGGGGATTCATGCACTTGAGTAGTCAATTTCTATAACTATAGTCAGCTCCAAGGTATCAGAATGGGGTTTCAAGAAATTTATAGTTACAAGGGCATAACCCGATCTTGTTGTGTACTTGTATATCTTCAATACAAGCATTGGTTGAAAATTGGGATTGGAAGAGTAAATAGTATGCTCGAACATCAATTAGCTTTCATTAGCATCTTCAATTTTAAATTTGGGTAAAACTTTGGAAATTTAGAATAGGGGCCTAACGAATTATTCTTATTAATTCGCTATGAAAACTAAGTATCATGATTAAAATATAGCTATGATTGGATATTCTGCGAAAGTAAGCCCGGGCAGTGGTCCCCTTCCCTTTTGATAAATGAGTGTCCTTCACTCTCTGTCCTAAACATTGGTTTCATGGAACCTGCATTGACTTACCCATTTTCTATAATTTATCTTTCAATTGTGAGAATACAAATTGGGGTTTTGGGGTTTTGGGGTTTTGGGG